AAATCTTTTAAAAAATAATAATAGTAATAAAAGTAAAGATAATTCTGTTCCTTCTTGGCATGGCACAAACCAGCATTAATGTAGATCTTCTAGGAGTTACTCCTACTTTCTTGTAGACCAGCGTCTTTGCAGATGAACCTTTCCTTCAGAAAGAAACCATGAAATGTGTAAGGTGGGGAAAAAGCCGTGTTAGAGTCCCACTTGCTATTCACTGCTTACGAACCTTGGGTAGGGCCTCCCCAGCCTGGAACACACAGCCTGTTTTCACCTGTGTTGATCCTCCATGTCTGTGGAGACTCACTAGCTCTGAGAAGCTCTCCTCCCTACACCCCAGCTCGGAGGCACCTCCCGGGCTCTGGGATTGCTCAGAGAAGCTAAAAGCTCTGCATTACTGCCTTTATAAAGTAATCATGCTTTATAATGCTTTATTGAATTCAGTTCTAGACTGATGTGTATATAAACTGCCATGAAAAGGGGTGCGAGCCTCAGGCCATGAGCAGCTGCTAGTAGCCTTCATAACATTTTATGATCTCTGAAATTGCTTGGATAATCATCAGTGAGCCAGTGGGTGAAAATAATGATGGCCATAATGATCGAAGGAGGCCCAAGACCAGAGCCCAGATGTGCAGGCACTTGGTGGTAGAGGCGTAGGCCTGGGCCCCAGTCACCGCACCTGCTACCCTCCAGTCCCTAGACTGTAGTAGTAGGCGAATGCTACAAAGCCCCGGCAGCACAGGGACCAGACGGGGTGGTCAGGCACGGAGGTCTTACCGTGGATGTTGATCATGGTGGTTGTCACGGGGGCCAAGCTCTGGGATGCACAAGCGGGGGATGGGGCAGAGGGAGAGGAAAGAATCTCAAGCAGACTCCGTGCTGAGCATGGAGCCCCACACGGGGCTTGATCCCACGACCCTGAGATCATGACCCGAGCCGAAATCAAGAGTCGGACTCTCAACCAGCTGAGCCACCCAGGCGCCCCAGATTTCAGAATATAAAAGCAATTTCTAAATATGTGGCCATCATCAGCTAGATCTCCCCATCCTCATCAGGCAACATTCAGGAGTGGAGTAAGAGAAATTGAGCCTCCTAGTCTTTGTGACACTTCTCTTGGGGTGGAGGTGGGGGGAATTTTTATTTCGCAGTCTTCATCCAGATCAGCCTCTTGCAGGTTTCTGCCTAGAAGGTGGGTGGGTGACCTTTTAAAACTTTCTTCATTGGTCCAACAGGTGACTTGCCCCAGCATCTTCAAGTAATGATCAACCTTCTGCGTTGTGAAGATCGGATCAAGCTGGTAAGAAGAGACAAAGAGCGGCAAGTTTTAATTTTTAATTGTGCGATTTGGTAGGGAATTATTCACGAGCAGTGGGAGGTGGGGAGTTCCTGTGTTCCAGCAGATTCTCCCAAATTGTTCACAAAAGCCAGAGCCAGGTTTGCTCTTCACCACCCACAAGGTCCAGAGAAAGGATATGTTAGATGTCCGTGTTGATCTGAGGGTGGAGATCTTCATTCTCTGGATTGTACCTGTTCACCCATTTGACCAACTTTGGGGGAATCTCCCCAGAGCCAAGCACTGTCCGTCGTGCATGGATATAAACAGACGCGGCTCCTGCTCTTAAGAATATCATCTTAATTCCTGAGCTCATGGCGGGGGGAGGTAGAAAACAAAAGCCCTCGGTGTTGATATGGTCACGGAAGAGGCCACCACCTTGAAAGGCAGGCCAGTGAGACCGTCTTTGCCTGTCTAGGCCGTGCGCTTGGAGAGCGCCTGGGCGGAGCGGGTCCGGTACATGGTGGTGGTGGACAGCAGCGGGCGCCAGGACACGGAGGAGAGTATCTTGCTGGGAGTCGACTTTTCCAGTAAGGAAAGGTGAGTCTGGTGGGGCGGTGGGGACCTGCGTTGCCGTGGTCCCGTGTCCGTGGGAGATGATGACGAGATGTGTGGTGGTCAGCGGCCCGGTGACCAGGCATGCAGAACAGTAGAACGCACCGTTGCAGCCCGTGCGTGCCTGGCGCTGTGCTAGATTCAGCCTCTGCTCTCAGCTCCGACTGAGAGGATAGAAGAGTCACGCTGAGCTTCGAGGTTTACCACTGGGTTGCTATCGGGGGTGCCATGGAAGAGAGCGCCTGAGCCGGGGGGGGCTTCCTGAAAGAGGTGACGGCTGTGGTGAACACCCAGGAACAAGCAGGAGGGAGCCACGTGAAGCGGGGATGGGCCCGTGTAGAAGTATGTGACTGATTGGCATCGTATCAAGCGCTTCCCCTGTATTACCATCCCAAGTGGATTCCCAAGTATTTGTTGACAGGTCCTTGGTCAGAGGCTTAAAGGGAGGTTTGGAATTTTCCAATAACTGGAGGGCAAGTTAGTTGTATCATAGACCCTATTATGTGTGTGAAATGAGGGCGAATGGCTCTTCTTACATCTAGGATACGTGAATGTGCGTGAGATCATTGCAGACCCTGGCTTTGTGAAACCTGGATTAAGATAGGCTCCCTGTATTCATGATCTTTAATCTACTCATCCGCCAAGGCAAGTGTGTACGTTCTCCTGTGTATGAGGCAATGGGCCAGGTACACAAAGAAGCAGCCGAAGCTGTGGTCCACCTCTGAGAGCCTATAAGCTCAGGGAGGAAGGAGCCATGACCAGATGGCAGGGCAACGGGCTCGGTGATGGAGGGGTGCTCGGGGGGTTGTGGAAGCACGAGACGGGTGGGCTCAGAGGGGGCAAGCAAGAGGCCTTCTGCAGCGTGTGATGGCTCACTGAGTCTTAAAGGGCAAGTGGGCAGTAGGGACGGGGCAGTGGGGGCTGCATTCGAAGGCATCTTGGGCAGAATCGATGGCAGGACAGAAAAAGCCACAGACGCAGTGAATGGTGTGGCGGCTATGTGGTCTCGTCTTGTTCCCGCAAGAGAGCTGCTGTTAGGAGGGACCAAAACTTTGTTCCCGGCCAACAAGCTCACGAAGAAAGAGGGAGGACATTTCTTTTATGACCTTCTTCCCGGTACAGGATAGCATCCTAAGAAAGCTTTGTGCGGCACACGTAGGGAGAGACGTGTGAGCCGGCATCTGTGGCCTTGGGCTAGTTGGGAAGTCTGGATCTGGAAGACTGTGGAGCCTGGCGGGTCTTAGGAGGCAAGCTGTGAAGAGCGCCCCGGAAGGCAAGAGGGCCCAGCACCTCGTGTCAGGGCACCCCCAGGCCGGCGCTCTGGGACACGGGCGGAGCTCGGTGTTTTGTGCAGCACGGAGGTATTTAGTGCGAAACAGCGATGCAGTTACATTTGCTCTTGGATGATCAGCCAGCCTTTCGGAGTTCCTTCTGGGGCAGGGGCGTTCCTCGCCACATGTGGTCCGTCCTTGTAACACCCTCCGGCCCAGAGCGGGAACCTGCCTCTCCATGGGATGTGCCCACCGTGGAGGTCTGCCCCTCCTGCTAGCCATCTCTGTCACTTCCGTGGGAAGAGCCCAGGGTGGTTGCCACGGCGTGTCCTCAGCCTCTCATTGAACCCTTAAACCACCCCGTGGAGCAGGTAGCCCTGATTTGTGTGTAACAGATGAGAAATGCAGCTCGAGAGGTCGGGGTGGGTACCCCAAGGCCCTCCTACTAGCAGAGCTGGGCATCAGAAGCCAGGCTTTTGTGGCGGCCCTGCGGTGTAGACCCTGCACATCGATACGCTGCACTCTCCTCTGCACCCCGTTGTTCGTGAATTCATTCCTCCGCGACCATCTGTACTGTTAGCACTTTCTGCGTGCCCGGCCTCTGCTCTCCGACCTCAAGAGTCTGGAGGTCGTGACCGTAGCATTAGATGCGTACGCATGCCCTCCACGTTGTCCTTCACGGCTGGAGTGGACAGGCCCGCGTGCAGGCGTCAACCCCGAGGCCGTTGCCACGTCTTGTGGTTGGGGAGGTGGGGCAAGGGGCTGCCGAGGGTGAGTAGGTGGTCAGAGGGGAATAGGACCTAAGCGGCCTTCCTGTTGTCGAGCCTGAGTGGCAGCCCTGCAGGCCCAGGCATGTGGAGGCGGGGGCCGGGGGCCTGGGCCCTGGGCCCTCTTCTGCGGCCCCACACTGGGAAGCCCCAGGCACCAAAGCCCTGGTCCTTACAGAAGCTTTTGGCCTGCTGAAAGCATGATATGCTTGTTTTTCTCAATTCCTGACATGAGATTTTGCTTCCTTATTCCAAAAAAAAAAAAAAGGAGGGAGCGAGGAGTGCTGCCCATAGCGGGTACGTACCCTGCGGGAGTTCCGGCAGGAGGATAGGCAGGGGCCGTTTCAGACGGGACGATGCAGGGGCAGAGACGGGCCCCACGGGCTCACGGGCTCTCCTTCAGAGCCGCCCATCTGCGCATGCGTCGCCCCAGAAGACAGGAGCGGCCACCCCCAGGTTCCATCTTGCATTTGGGAGGCGAGAGCACCGTGAGTGCCGTGAGCACACACAGCTGCCCTGTGCTTGCTGGCACCGCGCGGTCTGCGAAGGGCTTCCACGGCGCCCCCCTGTGCCAGGCCTGGCTCCCGCGTGGCCCTCGAGTCCCCACGCCGGCCCCACTGGCCCCTCTGCTCCTGCTGTTTCAGTTTCCTCTGAAGCTTTTCTTCTCCCCCAGCTGCCCCACCCATGTCATCCCTTGAGGTCATTCCTCCTGGAAGACCCCATTTCCCTGACCGGGTGCCCCTGCTCCCCCTGTACGCCAGCACGCAGGCCCTCCTTCCCTGTAGACATTTGGCTGTCCGTCACTGCAGGACTACTGGAAACTCACACAACAACAGATAAGGGGACGTTAGGGAATTTGCAGAGTTTTTTCAGTCGTGCCATGGTCCCCGCCTGTGCTCTTGACTGCAGGTAGAGACCCTGCGTGGGAGTCCTCCGTGGACTTAGCCCCATGCGCGCAGTGCTCTCTCCAGGCTCTTCCCCATCTCCGCAGGTAGGGGAGGCCAGTTTAGATGCTGCCCTTGTTTCATATGGACAGTTTCATCTCGGCCTGCCCTGGAAGGCCCCCTCCTGCCCTAGGCCTGGGCCTGGGCCTGGGCCTTCCCCGCCTACCCCACACCAAGTCCAGTCCAATGCTCCTTGTAGCTCTGTCTTCTCTCCTCATTACCAGTCCCTGGCGTGGGTCGTCAGTGCTGAAAGGGGGTGAGTCTTCCAGGCCTGGCAACGTGTTCCCAGGTGCCCTCTGCCCTGGGCTCTCAGCATGTCGGTTTGGGCTACGAGGAGGCCCCCTGCTCAGCCGCCCAAGCACTGACACAGCAAGCAGCTCTGGAGCTCTGCGGGTCTCAGCATACGTTTTATTTTGCAGCTCTACAAAGGAAGTAGAATTAGCCCATCAAGAGTGGGTAGGAATGCAGGGGTCAGGGGTCAGGTAATTTGCCTAACACAAAAGGCTTCGTCTGATTTGACCTGAAGGGCTTGCAGCTTCCTTCCCCACAGACGGAAGCAGAGGGTGGAAGAGTCCCGCTTGGTCACCAGCACTCCAGGGGAAGAGGGGGGTCTGTGAGCTCAGAGCTCCCTGTCATAGGCATCACGTTACTCCCTGGGCTGGGCTAAGAGGGAGTAGAGGTGTACGTCCAAGATCCCTGGAGGCTCTCGGAGTTGGCCTTGGCCGTTACCGTGGTCTCTCATGAGCAGACTCTTTCTTTTAAATGCCTGAAGAATTTTCCTAACGATCCGAGTAACCCTCTGATAAAGTCCTTTCTGTCCCTCTGTGTTTCTCAGTGGCACCTGTCTCCAGAGTCACTAAGCATCATTTCACTGTTAGGGTGAGCAAACCAAAAGCAGATTAAGCTCATTTTGAAACTGCAGCTGTGCAGAAGGTACAGAAACAGAGGCCCAGAAATGAACTGCAGCCATGGTGTTGGCACTGTCCCCATCCCCGCCACCTAGGACAAGAGGCCCGGTTGGCTGCCACGGCTCGCCTGTGTCCCCTGGAGTGCGTGTGGCCTCGTGCCAGGAGTGCGCCAGCCATCAGCGGCTTCACCCCTGCTGCAGCGTGGGCGTGTGGTCAGCCGCTCGCTCCCTGCCCCCGAGAGCCACAGCCGGGGCCTGGCGTTTCCAGAGCTCCATCCGCACCTCGGTGGGGTCACAGTCCCCTGGGACTGTCTCCAAGTAGAGGTCACTGGGGACCCCCTCTGATGGGACCATCCCAGACTCACGTCTTCTAGAATTCAGTGGCGAGTGGTCCCTACGCAGACAGCCTGAGAGCTTCTCCCTGATACACACCCAGCAGCCAGGCCCAGGTCGGGTGGTGGTTCCTTTCTGAGAGCTGGACAGGCTGGGCGAAGGCAGGGAAGAGGGTGCATGAGCGGGCGGACCCTGACTCTGGGCATCTTCTCTTTTCTCCTGAGCAGTAAAAGCTGCACCATCGGGATGGTTCTCCGGCTGTGGAGTGACACGAAAATCCACCTTGATGGAGACGGGTAAGGAGATCTCTTTAAAAGATTCTTCCAGGGGCGCCTGGGTGGCTCGGTCAGTGAAGCGTCTGCCTTCGGCTAAGGTCCTGATCCCCAGAGGCCTGGGACCGAGCCCCGTGTCGGGCTCCCCCATCAGCAGGGGGCCTGCTTCTTCATCTATCTCCTGCTCCCCCTGCTTGTGCTTTCTCTCTCTCTGACAAATAAATTAATAAAATCTTAAAAAAAAAAAAATACTAAGAGATTCTTCCACTTTGGGCATCCTGGATAATCATTAGGAGCAGAACCACCTGTGTGACGTGCTCACACAAGGACCGGGGATATTTGGGACATTATATAAGGGAGTTTGGGTCTCGAAGTATCAACGGAAGAGTATTTACAGGGGATGTGCTGCTGTGTGAAGTTCCAGCGCATCAGGGAGCTGACATCCATCCCTTCCCCTTGATGTGTTAAGTGAATACTCGGTACGTGCCCCCCACGCGGAGCCGGTCACTGTAGGTTCACGGTTGGAAAGGACACGGCCAGAGCACACAGCCATGGGGGTGCGGGGGGAGGCAAGCGGCTAGCGGGCACAGCAGCGTGTCAGGTGCGTCTTCCGTGTGGCTGGGGCGAGGTAGACAAGAGAGCCATCTGGGTTCCACGTACATTTGCTTCCAGGGGAAATATGCGGGTTCTGCCAGGAGTGGGGGGGAAGGAGCTGAATACAAGTTGCCCCTTCACCAGGATTCCAACGGTAAAAGTTAAATTGCCTCATAAAACCAGGGAAGAAAAATTAAAATGTGATTTTTTTTTTTTTTTTGAAGAGGCAAGATTACAAGGGTTATATTTTTTTTCCTTTGTCAGATTTTGCCATCTGTGAATATATTTCGCATGCAATTACAAAAACAGTGGGTGGGATGTGTGGGGCAGGAAGTAGTAGGGGGCTGGGACAGTGGCAGGAACGTGAATGAGATGGTGTGTCAGATGGTGGTGTTACCTCTGCCAGGGTTTGTGTTTTTGATAGACCTCGCGTAGCCGGGTTAAAAGCAAGTCTTACAGATTTGAGAACACTTTTTTTTTTTCCCCACTTTTTTCCTGCTCTTGCCCTTGTTCCATGCAGCGGGCTTGTATTCCCTGCTCAGAAAGCGTGAGCCACCCTCGTCATCTGGTGTGGCCTCAGGGTCTAACTTCTCACCGCGCTTCCTTTCTTTTTTTGTTTTTCATCCTCAGGGGATTCAGCGTCAGCACTGCGGGACGGATGCACGTCTTTAAGCCCGTATCCGTCCAGGCCATGTGGTAAGTGCTTTTAGGGACTTTTATCACCTTAGGAATATTTTTTTTAGCTGCCAGCACGAATAGGAAAACCCCCTTTGACTTTAAAGCTCATTTTGGTGCGTTTATTTTTGTGTGTATGGCAAAATGCACGTAACGTGAAGTGTACCGCGTTTACCATTTTTTAAGTGTGCAGTTCAGCGTACATCCATGATGTGCAGACGTCACTATCCATTTCTCGAACTTTCTCATCATCCCATTAAACACTAAGTCCCTCTCCCCCGCCCAGGCCCTGGTTAACCTCTGTCCTACATTCTGTCTCTAGGAGTTGGCCTACTCCAGGTCCCTCCAATAGGGGGGAGTCCTCCCCGATTTCTCCCTTTGCGTCTGGCTTCTGTTGCATATCTTGATGTTTTCGAGGTTTGTCCGTCTTGTCGCACGTGTCAGAATCCTTTCTAAGGCTGAATGTTACTCCAGGATGTGGTCATAGACTATTTTTTGTGTAGCCCTATCATCCGTCAGTGGACATTTGGGTTATTTCCACCTTCTGGCTGTTGTGCTTGGAGCTGCTATGAACACGGGTGGGCAAAGTGTCTGTTGCAGCCCCTGCTTTCAGTTCTTTTGAGGATGTACCTAGAAGTGGAATTTCTAGAGCACGCGGTTAACTCTGTGTTTCACCCTCTGGGGAACCAAAACTGTTTTCCGCAAACTGGACTCTTGGTCCCGTTTCACACTCCCACCAGCTGTGCACGAGGGTTCTGGTTTCTCCACGTCCTCACCAGCTCCTGCGAGTTAGTTATTGAGTTTTCATCATCGCTCTCTTAATGGGTGTGAAGTGGTATCTCGCTATGGTGTTGATTTGTATTTCCCCACTTGATGAATACCGAGCATATCTCTTTATGTGCTTATTGGCCATTTGTACAGCTTTTTTGGAGAAAAGTCTATTCAGGTCCTCCAGCCAGTTTTTCATTGGGTGGTTTTTTTGTTGTCGAAGGTACTTTATTCTTACGTTATCTACAGTTCCTGCTGCCCAAATGCCATTCCAGCGCAAATTTGCATATTCTTTATACCTGGCGCATGCTCGGTTTGTGCCCTGAAGGGAATGGCACCCTGCCAGGCACTGGGCATCTGGGAAGGCATACGACGGACATAATTCCTGTCCTCGTGGGGTTTAAAGTCAATGGAGGGGAGGTGGCCATAACCCGCGCAGAGTCACGTGTTGGGAGCGTGTTCTCACAGGGTGCCCGCTACAGGATGCGGGGTGCAGGGCCCGCGTCGGGGGGAGGGCCTCCCACACACTCTGCTTTGGGGATGAGGTAGCCGTGGGCGAAGGCTGCACTGGGTGAAACAGGTCAGGCCGGTGCTTCTTCAAACCCGGCACACACACCTGCGAGCCTCCCTCATCCTTGGAGGGTCGCATAAACCACCCCTGCAACGAACTCAACACAACCGTCTCTCTTTCCAGCAGTCTGGAAAAGGCTCAGGAGAAAGCTGGTGGCATCTGACGAGAAGGGTTCTGCCCAGTGTTTCCCAGTCATTACTTTGTTTCCTGGGACGCTGAGAGTTAGGCCGAATTCTCCTATGGGCCACCAGTCAACATGGTGCTTCATTTTTACCTCGTCCATTACTCTACACTGCCCTCAATTCAGGCTCCTTCTGGGGAAAATCACGAAATCATAATTCCCTTGATATCCCAGATGTTTCTTGCGTCCCTGGATCATTTCTTACCTCTTTCTCTACAGGCAAGTAAAAAACAGGCCCACATGTTTTTCCAAAATTTCAGGAGCAAAACTAAATTTAGTAAATATGCGGCTCAAGCCTATTCCCTGAAGCAGCCTAGAGATAGGACAGACATGCCTGAGTGGGACGCATGCAGCACATAGCGGGGGTGAGCCCTTCCCCGAGCACTCTCGCTCCCTCCGGGGCTTCCCCACTCCCACCCTTCGTCGATGCCTGGTTCACCCCCTTCACTGAGAGAGTTTCAGCCTAGATTTTTGTTAAAAAAAAAAAGATGACTAAGCTGAGCATTACCATACACATTCTCCACGTTGTTCCTTCTGCCCCACTCTTCCTTCCCGAACCTCTTCTTCATTTCATCCCTGTATTAATGTGAGTTTCTAGTACTCCCTTCCCTAAGAGAGCTAAGCATCGAAGCTATTATAACAATGACGGGCAAAGGTTAAAAAGCAAGTTATTCAGAACGCAGTAAAATGTGTCTGCTGCATGTGAAAGACTTTCCTTCCACCTGCCAGGCTTTGTGGCGGTGTCCCTCCCACCCCCCGCCTCCGAAGTAAATCTGAGTTCTTGGGCGTTAACTGGCCGAGTGGGAGATGATCCGTGAGCCAGCCTGGGTGGGAGAGTTACGAAGTTTGCACTCTTTCCTTGCTGGGCACGGTGAAGGATGGCTCATCTGCTCTTGGGTTCCGTTACCCGGCAGCCGGAAGGTTTCGGGCTGCCTTGCGTCCCGCACGTAACCTTGTGCATATGGCGACGCTCGTAGTGAGTCCTTGAGGGGTCGCCCTGCCCCGCCCCATTCTCAACCCCCCCCCCGTGTGGAGGGAAGAGCCCAGCACTCCCTGTGCCTCCCCAGGCCTGACCCTGTCCCCCCTCCTCACCCCAGGTCTGCCCTGCAGGTCCTTCACAAGGCCTGCGAAGTGGCACGAAGACACAACTACTTCCCCGGTGGCGTGGCGCTCATCTGGGCCACCTACTACGAGAGCTGCATCAGCTCGGACCAGAGCTGCATCAACGAGTGGAACGCCATGCAGGACCTGGAGTCCGCACGGCCCGACTCCCCGGCCCTGTTTGTGGACAAGTAAGTGCAGCGCTGCCTCGCCCACGCCGGGCCCGACCCTGAGTCCGCACAGGGTCACACCACCCTGGTAGTCCCAGGATTGGGAGCCCCCTCTCCCAGGACCAGCATTCCAAGCAGGGGTGCCTCACCTGCTGCCCATGGGTAGTCTGTGGCTAGGGAAGGCTCTGGGACCACCACCCCACTTCTGAAATTAGAGACGGATTTGGGTGTGAATGCGAACCGTAACTCCCATCAGCCTACATGCATCACCGGCTCTTGGGCCATGTTCTGTGGTCCGCCCTTTCCCTCTGTTCTGAAGAGTATTATATATCCATCGTCCCAGGATCCCAAAACACCACTGCACCACCACTGGCTGGGGGCGGCCTGCCTTAGAGGCCACAGCAGTGAACCCGGGGCCTCTGTCACGTGGCCACCAGCAGAGCTCACGTGGCCTGAGGCTGCACTCAGTGGAAGTCTGGGTCCAGAGGAAGGAAATGGCTCCCCCCTCCTGTCTTGGTTGGGACCTTCCTCCCCCAGAGTCGTGTGTCCCTCTGGGACTGCATTATGAGGGCCACGGACACAGAGGTCAGCCTGAATGAGGAGAGGACCGGAAGCCATGTTCTTTGAGGCCCCAAGTGATGAGCGGGTTGGGGAGAATGACAGTTGCCTTTGAATATAAAAAAGGGCATTCTGTGGAAGAATTACCCTGGTCTGTGTAGAAGCAGGGCTGATGGGTAGAAGTTACAGGGAAGCACATAGATTCTCCATGTAAGAAGGAGATGAGGAGAGCCGGACCCAGTGATGTCCTCCCACCCAGACATGTTCAAGCGCAGACAGAAGGATGTGGTTGGTGGGCGGACGTTCCGCGGGTGCTTCCAGCATCTCGTCCCGAGAGCCTGATTCTCTGCAGACCTGAACGAGGACTATGCTTTCCAGCCATTGTTTGTGCTCCCCATCCGCTCACCACTCTGTGGACGCC